GAGAGAATTAGAGGGAGCATACTTAAATTCACACAGGACACCGGATAAGACAGGAGAATAACACCAGATATAACAGACTGACCCTAGCCCCCCGGCACATAGACTATTGCAGCATAGATGATGCTGCGGGCCTTCTTCAGGCACTGTTTCGAGAAAATATCCTAGATGGGTGGGAGCATGGTCCCAGTGATGTACTGGGCCGTCTTCACCACCCACTGGAGGGCCTTGCAGTCGTGGACGGAGCAATTCCCGTACCAGGCCGTGATGCAACCGTAATCCCCACGAACGTGACGATTGCTTGTAAACAAAAAAATGCCTCTATATTACTGTTAATTTCCCCTTCAGTTCTAACCATGATGGACAACATCATCCAGGAGACCATTCAGTTCACCAGACAGAGGAAGATCTTCAAGATGCCTGTTCTCTACCACCAGTCAGTTCACTTCAGACTGGCTGAGCTGGAGACAGAGATCGAGCTGCTGCATCGCTCCACAGGTGGGTCTGCTCAAGATAAGGTAATGCTGCGTCCCAAATGGCACCCCATTCCCTATGTAGTGCACTACTTTTGACCAGGACCCATAGGCCTATCAACCTGTAATAAGCCATTACTAAGTGTGTAGTTTGCTAACCATTCATGAACTTCATATTATTGATATTATATAATTTGTTCATGGATGTGTAAACAAGTCCTACATGTATAAACTATAAGTCGTTTATTAGCTGATATGCAAATTAAGTGTTAGCAAATTCCAAACGTTTTTTTGGGATCCACTGCCGAATGCTGTTCTTTCATTGGTCAGATGATGCAGTACAGGTCTGTTTACCTCTCACTAACGTTGTTACTACTGTACTCTGATGTGGCAAATCAAGGCAATGAGATATGGACCGCGTTCCAGAGCTTAGACATTGCTAAGGCCTAGATAGGTATTTTAAGTATCAGCTAACCACATCTATGTTATTGCAATTTGTCAGTAGATGACAGTCGATTACGTGGCACGCAACCATTGGTTGTTGCGTCGCCTCACCTTAGCTGTGGAACGCACCCTAATTCCCATATAGTGCACTACTTTTGACCAGAGCCCTATAGGCCCTGGTAAAAAGTAGTGCACTAGGTAATAGTGTGCCTTTTGAGACATACCCATGATAGGCATCTGGGGGTCAAGGAAAAGGGTCACTGTCACTGTCTGAGTCAGTTGAAAAGATCTCTGTTTCATCGCTTCCACAAAACCTTTCTATGTACAAACACTGTTCATATGCAATATGCAGATAGATAGTGTACGGAGGAAGTTCATGTTTGGGGTAAACAAGTTGAGCAACCATTTTAGTCAATACAGTTACACAACAGTGATGTTGACTTTCGATACTAGTTAATTCCATGAACATTCTGGGTCAGATTGGTAATTTTGCTCAGGAAATTAAATTTAAATCATTTAGGCATCTAATCAGAAAAGAGTCTCCATTGTCGTACTTCATGGACGAAAATAATACGTGGTTTCCATGTTTTTTAAGAATGTGGCCGAGATATTAACTGTCATTGAATGATCCCAGTGTTAATTTGTTGATTAGCGCTTTTGTTTTCTTTTTTATTCTCGGAGACGCCAGGTTACTGTCCGTTGGAGGAGGCGCTGATGACGTAATGCTGTCAATCATCTGAAAGTACATGGACACCCTACCCAAGGCCCTACCCAAGAAGTGATGTCACAGTTCCAGTGTCTCTTGCCCTTGTGCTGTACGTCAGTCCAGAACGTTAAGCGGATTCGATTATGCTGAGCCGTGGGGTCCAAGTCTATGGCCTGTGATGTAAACGGGCAAAAGTGGTGAGGGAGGAGCGCTCTTCTCAAATTGAAAAGTAATCTGACCCGCTCTGTCATGTTGTCAACAAGGCAGCATGGTACACTGTCCAGAAACATACATCTCTTTTCCATTAAATATATGTTAGAATTTTCAAACTAGTTGTCATTGGGAAGGCAGATAGTGTTTTTATCAAAAGCAATCACTTTTGCATGTGATAAACATAGAATCCTACTCATTACTCCACGTGCTAATTACGTAACTTTTGACCGGGAGGCAGCCCGGTTCCAAAACGAATGCAATCAACTTTCACCCGGTGCAAAACACACCTACCTTGGACAGATTCATCAAATCCCCTCATTGTTCCCTTTCCTTATGTATAATGACTGGATAGGTGGAAGCGATACCTCTACTTAGTTTCCGCCGTATTGCTTCCACCTATCCAGTCCTGTCAAGTCCGTGAAGGGGAGTGAACGAGGTCAGAAGGAACGGAACAATTTTCTGGAATTTAATGCAGCCTTGGAAATCAAAGAACGCATCACATTTTTACATTTACATTTTAGTCATTTAGCAGATGCTCTTATCCAGAGCGACTTACAGTTAATGAGTGCATACATTATTTTATTTTTCATACTGGCCCCCCGTGGGAATCGAACCCACAACCCTGGCGTTGCAAACGCCATGCTCTACCAACTGAGCTACATCCCTGCCGGCCATTCCCCTCCCCTACCCTGGACGATGCTGGGCCAATTGTGCGCATGAAGGGCAATTCATAAACTCGAAGTAAATCCATTTAACCACTCATCATGGCTATTGGACTGTTTTGTATTTACCGTATGATAATGCATGTACTACTCTAGTGGGCCAGCAAGAAATGTTTTTTTATTTTTTTCAAGTAGAGCCTCCATGTTTCCATCCTGGGGAAACATGCATAAGATTTCCATCCATAAGATTCTTCAGTATAACTTTGGTTCCATTCATTGCCGTACAACAATTGAAAACAGCCGTCCTACAGTAGGTGTGAATTTATAATTAGTGTGTGTTCTTTTCAATGTGAAGTGGATGGGATTTGTAATCAATGTTAAGATAAACTTTTGTCAGTACAAATTGTGTCAAATTTTTGTAGATAGTCTCAGGAATGCAATGAATAGTATGAACCGTTATTTGTATAAAAGAAACTAAAGACTGTGTACCTCAACTGAGCCTGAATATGTTGACTTCTACAAAATGAATGTGGGGAAATTAATCTTACTCTGGGGAGGGGTCAAATTCAAAACATACATCTTGTTTATTTACATATAAAATACATTTACATTAAAGATGTTCACGGGAGAACAGTGTGCCATGGTGGAGATGAACGGTCGCTGTAGACAGGATAGGAAACGGTTTGAAGTGAGTGTACCCTTCTAATTTATTCCTCAAAACAAAAACATTTACATGTTTGTTTATAGTGGAACTCTATAGTTGGATACTGTATTGATGAAATGTCAGTCTCCCATTGGATCAAGCCATCTCTTCAAGAGCATGATATCTAACTATCACACTTGCATACTAATAACATTATGAGTCATGCACTGGAGAGCTCCTCAGTGACTCAGCCTAGAGAGCTTAGTCACATTTGCACATCCAGTGGGTATAGAAAGTCACCACCCCCTTTCAAAATGTTCACCTTTTGTTGCCTTACAGCCTGAAATGAAAACACATAAAATCAGACTTTTTCCTGGCTTTATTTACTTACACACAGTAACCCACAATATCCAAGTGAAAAAAGATAAGAAAATTAATGAAAAGTAAAACAGTAAAAATACCCTGTTTGGATAATTGAACCCCCCCCCCCTTAGAATTGCAATTGCAAACTTGCTGAGGTATAACCAACCACCTTCCAGATCACAAATCAAGCTAATTGGCTTCCATCTGTGATCAATTGTAGCGACTTTGATTAGTTCAGAATAAAAGCAGTTGTTCATAGAGGACTCCACTGCTTAGTAGTGCAATTCAAAGCAAAGAATCCACTATGGGCAGAATGGTACTTTCAAAAGATCTACGAGATAAAGTTGTGGAAAGGCACAAGTCAGGGGATGGATATAAAAAGATTTCAAAGGCTTTGTCTATCCCTCGGAGCACAGTTAAGACCATTATTAAGAAGTGGAAGGCGTATGGCACCACCCAGACCCTGCATAGATCAGGCCGTCCCTCCAAACTGGATGACCGTGCAAGGAGGAGACTGATCAGAGAGGCTACCAAGAAGCCAATGGCGACTTTGAAGCCGCTTCAGGCCTTTATGGCAAAGACTGGTCAATGTGTGCATGTGACCACAATATCACAAGCGCTCCACAAATCTGGCCTCTACGGGAGGGTGGCAAGAAAAAAACCACTCCTCAAAAAAAGCCACATCAAGTCTCGTTTGAGCTTTGCCAAAAAGCACATTGTAGATTCCGAGGCCAAGTGGCAAAAGGTGCTGTGGTCAGATGAAACCAAAATGGAACTTTTTGGCCTGAACGCAAAACGATATGTCTGTCAAAAACCCAATACATCTTTCCACCCAAAGAACACCATGCCTACTGTAAAGCACAGCGGTGGCAGCATCCTGTTCTGTGGGTGTTTCTTTTCAGCAGGGACTGGAGCACTTGTCAGGATAGAAAGGAAAATGGACAGTGCAAAATACCGACAGATGCTTGAGGAGAACCTGCAGCCCTCTGTCAGGAAGTTGAAAATGGGAAGATGGTTCACGTTTCAACATGACAATGACCCAAAGCACACTGCCAAATCAACCGTACAGTGGCTGAAGGACAAGAAGGTGAATGTCCTTGAGTGGCCTAGTCAGAGCCCTGACCTAAATCCCATCGAGAATCTGTGGAATGACTTGAAGAGTGCAGTCCATGAGCGGTCACCATGCAATTTGACTGAGCTTGAACAATTCTGCAAGGAACAATGGGCAAATATTGCACAGTCTAGGTGTGCAGAGTTAGTAGAGACGTATTCAAAGAGACTCATGGCTGTAATTCAAGCAAAAGGTGGTTCCACCAAGTATTAACTCAGGGGGTGTTCACTTATCCAAATAGGGTATTTTACTGTTTTAATTTGTATTAATTTTCAGAGTTCTTTTTTTTTTTTTAATTCACTTGGATATTGTGGGTTACTGTGTGTATATAAAACCTGGGAAAAGTCTGATTTTATGTGTTTTCATTTCAGGCTGTAAGGCAACAAAAGGTGAACATTTTGAAATGGGGTGGTGACTTTCTATACCCACTGTATGTTACTGCTTAGCCTTACCAGATATTTTATGAAATAGATCACTCCGTTACAAATGTACCTATAATATGCATCATCGTTAAATGGACAATCGTTGCAATCGTAAACTTATGGCGGTGTCTACTCATTCCATCAGGGCTGTCTAAAATGAATGACAGCCATACATTATTACCCCCTATTGTACATTGTCATTGATGATTTGGGGGGAGTCGTCTTCTCAACCACTAAGCACATTCTAACAGTCTCCTTGTCATTATGATCATCGTCATGGTCTTCTGATCCAGAGGCGGACTTACGGCACCGACAGGGAAAGGAGACACGAGAGGCATGGAGGGAAAAGCCGGGGCCTCCTGTAACGTATCACCTCAGTTTGATAAACCAGTAGAGGAGGGTGAAGACGAAGAGGCAGAAGAGCAGCATGTAGCACAGGAGCTTAGTCTGGCTTCCCCTGGAAAGCCGCTTCACTCTCCCTATGGTGGCCCCCAGCAAACCGCCCGTTGAGTCAAAGTCTGAGTCCTGTTAGGAGGAAAATAACAAACCAATAAATCCAGTGACATGTTTTGCCGTCCTGATATGAACTGCTCTGTGAAATAGCCAATCTGTTGTGCGATATCGTGAAATGTTATAGCTGCCAACTCATCTTATTTTACATGTGTGTAATCTGGTAGAAGAGGGTATAGATAAAGTGAGATGTGTGTGAATGTTTCTTGAGCTGTTGTGTACTTATGTAGAGTAGACAGACAATCATGACTGTCACTTCCTTACCATATCATCCAACATTTTGTTCTGGTACTTCACTTCGGTTCCAATATCTATTGACAGCTGTAGGACAAACATGAAATAGGTTAATCAGAGGACTTGATAACAATATGAGATAATAGCCAGACCTCTGAACCCCATATTATATAATTTCATGGAGCCCTACACACATTGACATACTTACATGTTTCAAGGCGCTGACTTTGGCTCTCAGACCCTCTTGTAAGTGCTCATTTTCCTCTTCATACGCGCTGTACCCGCTGGCCACATAATTTCCAGGTACTCCTTCGCCTGTTTGACATGATGTACAAAACCATTGTGCTGACTGGGTAGAAAACGATTAGCTATCTAACTTTAGCTAAATAAATAAACGAGAAACAGCTAGCTACCTATGAAGGCCAGTCAGGTAGCATCAGTGTCGGTAACTGTGTTAACTAAGTAAGTACGTTCACACGCTTACGCAAGAACTGTAGCTAGTTAGCTAGCTAGGTAGGTAGGTAAATGACAGTTCACTAGTTAGCTATAAAACTATCCTGATGACAATTAACAAAACAAGTTGGTCAGTAAGTGTGGTAGCTAGCTAGCCCGTTCTTTATACATACGTGAGCTAGCCAGCCTGCTAACTAGTCTGAATGAGCGTTCTCCATTTAAAACGATGGAATAAAACAGAATCTTACCCAAACCTGCGCGTCTCATTTTGATTTATTCTATAAAAAATATCCTAACTTTAAGGTGATAGCTAATGATTTTTATCCGAGCAGCAGTAGCTATTTTTGTTGGTAGCTGGGAAGCTAACACTAATTCAGCAAGATAAGAAACGCCACGACATCGTACGGAAGCCGATAAGGCCAATGTTACTTATTCTTCTTCGATGAGATTTAACGGCGGTTGGCATCCAATTTGTTGCATTACCGCCATCTACTACACTGGAGTACAACTCCCTTATATTTTGCTTGAAAAATAAAATAAAGAAATACCCTACCATCTAACACTACACTCACAAATTCAAAAATATTATTAATAATTAACACCACCCTACTCCACTATTTAAATATATTAATGCCTACCTCATGCCCTCAACCTGAAATGATGGGACATCACCAATTAACACTCCGACAGTCTCGCACACCCAAATACCTCTCTGCAGCTGCCACCACAACCTCAATTATCTTTGACTTACGTTCCATCCCTGCAGTTCAATTAATAACCATTGCTATAAATCCAATCTTACTAAAACACGTATTACTTGTTGGCCTATCCCTCTGTACTGGTACATATCTACTACTCTCACCACTCCTCCCCCTTGACCCATCTTCCTCTACTTTCTTCACTGCCTCAGCATATGACAACTTCTTCACTACTCTTACCCTGGAAACCTCAACCTGCCTCTCTCGCACGGGACATTTCTGATCCCTAGCCCCATGGGCACCCCTACAATTAACACATACAACTACTATCGTATCTGAAGATTATGCCTTTGTTAAATGTTTTTCATGACGAAATGGAATGTTGGTTGTTCAGGCCAAAGGGGGGAGGTTTTATGATGTTATTTGAAATGTGCCGCTTGGAGGGTGACGCCCGAGGGGAGACTGGTGATTGGCCAGAAGAGGGAGTAGCCCCTCCCTTTGCATTGTTTATAAATAGGGGGTAAACGATTAGACGGCAGAACGGCCATAGCAATCTGGGGAGCCGTTCTCCGGACATCGCGAGTCTGTATCTATGCTGTAGATTCGTGATTTTAATAAAAGCCTCTAACACGATGCAGTATGGCGAACTCTTTGTTGACAGCGATAATTGCCACCATTCATCATATACGACATAATGGCGCCCAACGTGGGGCTGGTTTGCGTCTCCTCTGTGTTTCAGTCAATCGCCGGGCTAACTCTCTCTGAGGGAAAAAGGGTGAGTGTTCTTACCGCTTCGGAGTTTGTTAGATTGGATATGACTTGTGTACATTGAGGGGATGTTCCATTATCACCCGGCCTCGGTGGCGTTATTGCTGGTCAACTAGAGTCGGCTAAAATTTATCCCAGGGGAAACGGCAGATAATTGGGAGTTTTTAGAGCATGAAACGGTAGGATTTAAGTATTGAAGTGACGATTAAGGCAGATATGCGCATTCTTTAGGGCACTGTACCACTTAAGACCTCCAGGGGGGGCCATTTTAGATGTCGGGCCGACAAATCCGTTTACACGATAGAATGGGTGGACGGTGGGTTTCTTTTCTTAAAGAGAGCTCGGATTCATGGGGTTTATCTGATTGTAATTATGATTTGACTCTCGTCCGACGGGGCGTTTGATTGGGTCTGATTTCTCGGTGTAATGGTCATTAGTCCCGGTAGCAAAAACGGTAGGATAAATATGTTAAAATTGATAGGGCAGTGCAGGGTTTGTTACATGTTGTAGGCTGCCGTTAGCTAGAGGCTAAAGGCTAATTGTGTTGTGTGCTACATGCTAACGTATCCTTAGAGATTCCATTGCGATGGATTAAAGTCTCTTAAATTTGTCTCTGTCTGTAAGTCAGGTTATATGTTTTGTGAGCGCTGTTAAATGTTGTTTGACTATAAGGGGGAAATGGGAAATTACAGCTGGCTGTTATTCTGTCTGTTTGGGGAGAGAGAATAGAAAATCTTCCTTTCACGGTGAAAAGGGATTTTTGAATGGTTGTGCGCATGCGTTTAATTTTGCGATACTACCCTCCAGAAAGGGGGAGGTTATGACACGAGATTAGGACACGTGTTGGTTTCACGGGGCTAAAAACTACGAAATGAGGTTGGCTAAGCCTACAAAACAAAATGGTGGCTTAAGGTCATAGGTCCCATTTGGCGTTACCCTGCAAGGGAAAATAGACAGAGGAGAAATTTTAACACGATGATTCTAGTTTAAACTGTGATTGGTTAAAGATGAAACTTGTTTGGTAGCCTATGGAATTTATAAATTAGATATATGGTAGCGGATTATAATACATTTAATTAAAGAATTAAATAACGGATTAAAATAAAATAAAAGGTTTTTGAGCGATCTATTTAATTCTGAGTTTAGTCTTAGAGTGAATAATGTAGAACGAATGAATATTGAATGGTTGGAAATACTCAGTGATTGCATTAACTGCTGAAATCGTGTGTGTTTCTATGTTTTTGTGAAATATGAGAGGAACATGGAACGGCGAGATGAGAGAGAGAAGGGGCTGACGTGTGCGTCACGAACAAGGTGTGACGAGGCAGACGAGAGGATCGGATCAGGCTAGTATACAAAATCATCCTAACAGAATATGTGATGTTGTGACCATTTCGCATAGGCGTGGCAAACTGATTCATTAAAAATTGCATTTTGGAGGCTATGTGCATCACTGGGGTTTAATTACAGATGTGTTGGGAATCCAGGATGGATTGAGGATTCTTCTGTAAATTTATGATAATTAAAGCTAATAGAGCAAGGGGTTAAAGGCTTTGTTTAGGGGTATTTTAGTCTGAAGATGACTAACTTGCATTTATTTGCATTTGATGGGTTGTGGTAAGATATACTCAACACTAATTGATATTGGTGACATAGGAATAGGAATTGGGGTTAATTATTTAGGATGGTTAATGGATTTGTTTAGGGTATATTAAGAATTACAGGGGGGAAGTCTATATAACTTATATAAGTCTAAAATAGGATAGTTCACAATAAAGGAATATAAAGGGCTTGGTATAGGGGAAAATTGAGTAAAATAGTCATTTTTTAATCAAAGTAATCAAAGTAGGGTTAGAGTAGTGTTAGGAGAGACTAATGGCAGATGTTAGTACACCTTTCTCACATATGGATTCAGCAGAAAGACATCATCCAGCAGGGTGATTATGGCATCAGACATGAAGACGAATACGAGCAGAAACAACGATGAAGATGAATCCAGAAGACGGAAGAAAACCGAGATGTCTGGGAACTTAAGGAGATGAGGATGATGACGATGAGAGTGATTGATGAGAGGTCATGGGTGGAGGTGACTCTGTGATCAGAAGGAAGTGGCAAGAGAGGAAAGAAGGATACTGGAGATTTAATCTCTGATTAAAGTTGAACGAAGAAGGGGACAAGAGATTCGAGTTCTGATGAAGAAAGTGAGAAGAATAATACAGTGAGGCCAAAGGAAAGGCCACTGGTAAGAAGATGATATTTCAAGGACAGAACTTAGAAGATAACCTTTTGAAGAATACTGATAGGTCCACAACGAGAAGAACCGGACGAAGAAAACTCTATCAAATACAACTTATAACTGGTGGTGGAGAAGACGAAAAGAAGTGTTGGTTATGAAGAATCAGAGTGAATCAAATCAACAATCACTGTTACAGCTTTAACTGAACAATATCAAAGGCAATTGTACCAACCAAGGGGGGACCAGATGTTCCATATCGACGGTCAGTTTCTGGACAGACACGGAATTGGAGAAGAAGAAACAGAGGAAGATCAACGAGCAAGTGAAGATCACCGGTGCTTCAGGTGAACACTAAATATTCTAGAGTGCCGAGAATATCCGGAAGGGGTGCATTGCTGAGAGCCTCGATTAGAGAAGAAGAGAAAATAGCTAACAGTTGAAACCACCGGCCATTAGAAGTGATAGTGAATAGGGGAAAACTTATCTGGGTTCAGTCTAAAGAGGTTAAACATATCACTCTGTAAAGTAAACTAATTAGGATAGGGATTTGAGGTAGTAAAACAGTTTAAATACTCTTAGGGAATCAATTGAGCTCTGCTATAGACGTCAAATAGGAATTAAAAGAGACAATATACCAATGACATTGTGGGAAGAGATGCATGGTGTAAATTGAAGTATTCAATCAGAGGCACAATAGACGACTGACTGTCTGGTAGACTATTTTAAGAAGTAGGGTTTTTGGGGAGTCATTTGCTTAAAAGATAAATATCATAGGAAGGATGATAATGTATTAGATTGCCTGTTAGACAATCTGTTTGGGAAAAAACTTAATAGGGGTGACTGTTATTTTGGGTTACATTCTTACACTAAGAGATTTGAGGTTAGGCTAAAAGGTGTTTAGTCGGTTTTGCCAAGTCTGTGTGTAATGAGTCAGAAGCAGGTGGGGAACTTTCCCAATCACATATTCAAAAATTTGGTGGTAAGAGATTTTGTCAATAACTCAGGGGAAAAGGTTTTAAATGTTATGAGAGAAAAGATTAGATTAAAATAAGTGAGGAGAACTAGGGGTGAAGGAACTCTGAGACAGTAAGCTAAGTTTCAAAGTTAGTAGTGAGAGAGAACCGTAATGAATGACACTTTAGAATAGGAAGATCAAGGTAATTGTGGGTACCTTTTGTTATAATCAGAAGGTTTAAAGTTTAGAGGTAGAACTGAAAAGGGGAAAACTAGGGGAAAACTAGGAGTAAATAAGGACATTAACACTTCAGTCTATTAAAATAACAGGTAGAAGTAATTTAACTCTTTCAACATTGATAGGTATTAAAGCCATAAATATAGCGCATTTGATTAAGGGTCCAGCATCAATTATAGGGGGAAAATACTGGTATGAGGGTTAGGAGAATAATAATTATAATATGCCATTTAGGATGATAACTGTTCTTTCACAGAGAGAGAGAGAGAGAGAGATAATTAGGGAGGATAAGTATTGTTAGCAGGATCAGAAGTAGGAGCTGTTGCACCTACTCAAATAAGGGATTATTTTGCGTAATGTTACCGAGAAAGGTTAGGGAGAATATCTGTGTACTTATCTAGTGCAAGCATTAGAAGTTGTTCTGGTTAAGAATTATTGGTTAAAGGGCTATGTAATTTGTAAGGTGATGCTTATAACGGAAGATTTGAAGTCTGTAAAACTTTTCACAGTCATTGAGGGAGTTCAGGAGGAGT